CAGTATAGTTCTTCATCTGAATTGCAACTAAATCTTAATTTATAAAAAAATTCATGATAACCAGGGTGTTACTGCTTTTGGGGGGAGAACTGGCATTAACAAACAGAGCTTTTGTGGAGAGAATGGTCACTAGAATGTCTTCATAAGACTGCTGCACAACTTGATAAATCAGGTTTATTACTATCTAAGGTCATACTAGGCATTTGTGGTTTGGGGTTTTTTGACATTGACTGTCTCTCCAAAAGTTAGGGTAATCTTTCTTCATCACTCAGCTAGGGCTATTGAAGTTAGTATTTTTAGTCATGTTCCTCTTATTTCTAGAAGACTTTACATACCCATATGTTTTGGAAAATGTTCCGAGATTCCCCTGAGTAAAAGAAAAAAAAAAAGGCAACACTTGCTTTTTAGGTGAAGGAATGCCTTTTTTTAGCTAGGGCTGTAACTTTCCTGCCTGCAAAATCCCAGGTGCATACTTGAGGTCAGCTAAGTTCCTTGTAATGGAATTGGGGTTTAGTTCATACAAAACCTATGGAATCCATGCAATTTGAGAGTGTAGTGCCCTTTCCCCCTCATAAATTGTGGGATTTCTCCCTTTAAACAATGAAGAGAAATACCCAGTCCTTCTGGGAGTTGAGGCTCTAAAATAAAACAGGTCTTCCCAAGCTAGAAAAGTGCTGTACATGCAGGATTTTCCACTGTCATCTGAATGGCTGCAGATGACGGAGTCACTTCCATGTTACATACCAAATTCATAACATGAATGTTTGTTTTCTCAACAGAGATTTATTTTTATTAGTCCACAACTACTGAACAAGGACAAAATGAGTAATTCATCAGTCTGAGTGGTTTTAAGTATGAAGTGACTCTGAATGGAGTTAAAATTTATAGCATTGATGAAATGTACTGTTCCAGCTCCTTAAACAGGTCATGCAGGAATTATAAACAACGCTTTTTAATGACTGTTTATGAAATCCTCTCACAACCTGTTTATATCTTTTTTGAGTAACATTTTAATCACAAGGGTTTGTGATCAGATTAGTGTGTTTTCTTTACAAGCTTTAGGTTTGGATGGCTTTTATTTCTGATGTTAGATGTTATATAATGTACCTCAATATATTGTTTAAGCTCTCACATCTGCTCAGGGGTAATAATGAAATCCCAACAACTTGCCATAACTGTGAATTCCTTTTCAGACTTTATGCAGCAGTAGTCCTGAAAACATGTCTATGTAAATGTCAAAGCCACTCTTGTCACACCCTAGAATATGCCAGTTTAAATTGCATCCGGAGTTGTTTTGCATTTATCTACACTTTCGATAATTTCTTGCATTTTTGCCTTACAGACTGGTTACTTTTTTGGGGAAGTTGAAGGAGCTGTGATGAACAAGTTACTAACAATGGGCTCCTTTAAGAGGTAAGAATTAACTCAACTTTCAATCTCTTAAAAAATGTTTTAGCAACAAAATGAAATCAAACTAACTCAATGTCATATAAAAAAGGTCAAGATCAGCTGTGTGGCTGGATTCTCATTTATGCCCCTTTTTCGTGTGACCTGAGTGTATCTCGATCCCATGCACATTGAGCGTTGAGAGCATTGAAGTCAACCTGCAGTGAGTTTCTTATTAAAAACAATGGTTTATTTGGCTACAATGCTAAACCTGTGTGCCTCTCCTCTTCCCACTGGGCTCAAAGGATTGGGCCATATCCACTACTGAACAGTTTAAATGGCTCTAAAGCAAATTGCTGATGCCACATTCAACATTTTGACCTCTAAGATGTTGGAGTTGCTCAAACTGGACAGTGCAAAATGCCCTGCTGTTAAAGGGAAAGTGTGTTCTGGCAGTAATTCATCTTCATTCATGTGCTAACTTAACTTTGAACATTGTTGTTGCCATTGACCTGGTCTTACTGTCAGGATGACAATAAAAGCTAATAGTGAGTTTGTATGTTTTCCTTTGAAATAAATTATGCATCCCAGGGAATTAAGAAAGAACTTTTCCCTTTAACCTGTAACTCAACACTGGATCTTCATGGCTTTCACATGGGCTAAGAACTGTTCCATACTCTTTTGTTCTCTTACAACATGACAGAAGTGCTGACTATGTATATTGCACTTTTCCCTTTTATTTTCCCATGCACTTCTAATATGAAAAAAAAAGTTGCATCACTGATCCCATCAATCACTGAATGTAGTTATTACATGTGAGCATGTATACAGAGGCTCTCAGAACAGATGGTTTGTGTGCTTGCTTGGTAAACAAGCTCTCTTAAAGGCAGAAAGCTTTCCATGCTGCCTCTGTGCATCACAGCTGAATACTGCTCCCAGTAAATGACTGACCTGACATGTAAAGATCTAGTGCTCATGGAATCATCCCCAATCCTAATTTTCTGAGGGTGGCAACCTTTTCGTGTTTAGTACTACATTCTTAACATATGCTGTAGAAGGAAGTGAAGTAATACATATTTTATAGACTAGGTTTGACAAGGAAAAGATCTGTTTATACAAGAGATGAAACATTTTATTTAATACAAAGAAAAAAATGCAGTCAAAACTAAGGGATTGTGCTTTAATTTCTCCCAAATTGTTTTGCCCTGCCTAGCAAACCATTTCAAACACAGTATCTACTCAATGATGGATGGTAGTGGGCACCACCATTGAGAAAACAAAGATTGCATGAGTTCCATCTCAGCTGTGGTGGGTGCCTCTTTGGCATGGTCTCTTGGCTTAGGTTTTTGCTGGTCTTGAACTCCAAGGCAGTTAGAGATAATGAGGCCACAAGCTCAGTGCAACTGAACTGCATACTAAAAGAAAGTGTAAACACAATGGGCCGATTATTTAAACATAATAAACTGACTATTGCCAATCAGTTAAAGATTGGAGAGAATCAGTGGTGTAATTGCACTAAATGAGCAACCTGTGCTCTGTGCAGCAACAGAAAAAAACCAGCCTAACTGTCTTTGAACTGTGCTAGATGAGGCCTTGCAATAAATTATTCCAGCAATGTGAAGTAAAAAGCCTTGCTGGCTCTCATGAAAAATAGTCAGACGCATTTACCATATTTTTAAGATTACTGATTTATTTGGGTGGGGTTGTGTTTCTATTCCAAAATTTATTTTATATGAAATAAGAAGAAAAGAAAAAGAGGACTTGATGCAGTGACAAAATCTGTTACCAGTGCCGTTTCCCTGAGAGCACAATATGGATATTGCATGCATTGTACTTGTCATTGTTGCTCTTACCATGAGGACAAAATCAGAGAGCAAAGTCTGATCATCAGCATTGCATTCAGAATACTTAGAGCCATCCTTTCTTACAATCTGCTTCTTACATGGCACATACTGTCCAGCAGGTGAATTCTATCACACTGCCCTGTTTCATCTGGTCTTGTTCCCTTTTTGGTTAGTTTAGAAGTAGAAGGTTCTGTGGTGCCTAGTCTTCACTGCAGAAGAGTTTGCTAATAACCCCAATAACTATGGGGATGGGAATCCTCTCTTCCTTTGGCACCAGTAACCTGAGTGTCAGTGCCAATATGTGCTCCCACCTTGTTGATTCCTGCCAGCTTTCAGGTTCTCCATCCACAAAAGGAATGAAATAACCCTTTGTCTATTCTCCCAAATACCACTAATTTAGAGTCATATAGAAGTTCTTTTTAGGATTGAGCTGAAAGTGCTAAACAAAAGGGAGTTGTTTGCTGCTGACTATATTTCCTTTCCAATTGCAGCAGGATGAAATTCAATTTTTGTGTTAGCTGTTTATTTTTTAAAGTGAGCTTAAATACCTCCTTCCCTCCTCAATTTCTTTAAACTCAGTGCTTCTTTTGAATAATGTGTACATATGTGTGTATGTATATTTTCTTAGTTTATGGGTTTTATAATTAGGGAGAAAAATTATATCAGTACCTCCACAGCAACGTGACATGCTCTATGATTTCATTTAGCAAAATTATGTTTATCTTATACCTTAAGTATTGCACACAGTTAAATAATTTCAATATAATTTAAATTTATTATTAAATAAATTAGGATGTGCTTATGGAAAAGTATCTGCTTCATAGAACTTAGAAAAGTTTCTTTATAGTTTCCTCAGCTCTGTGTTTATGTAAAAACAGTGAAAAAAATTTGATTCAGCAGCTCAAAGCATGAAGATCTAAAAAACCCACATTACGATCAGGAAAATTAAAGGCTATCAAAGCAATGAGTTCCCCAAAGAAATAAACTTAATAAATCTGTAAGAGAAAACTAAACATCTCTTGACTTCAAAACACTTTCCTCCTTTCCAGTAGGAGAAAAACTAAGCAATTCTATAAGATAAATATGGAAGCAGCTTCATTTCCTCTGACAATTCTATTTCCACCAGTCATCCTCTTGGCCTCTGAAGAAGAACCTATGCCTTGGTATATAATCATATTGTCAGAATATGTGACTCAAATGGTGCACACTTGAAATCCAGATTTCCCAGATGCTAAGGCCCATGCTATTAGGTCTTGTTGCTTTGAGAACTTCTCTTGTTTCTCAGTTTTTCTTGCTCTCTATCTATACTCACAATGCTTCTTAGTGAGGAACACACATCCTGTCTGTGACCTTGGGCATGGTGCAGTCCAGATCCTTCACCTGTGCTCTCCAAATGCATGCATGTAGAGGCAGACTTTCATCTCTCTGTCTTGGTTTGCTCTATAAGCCAAACCTAGGAAGTGTCTTGCCTTCAGGCTGTAAGAGAAAAAAAATAAAGTCAGAACTCTTTACTAACTGCTTCCAAAGAACAGAACATTCTTAAAGCCAAATCATGAGAACAGTAACTAGTTACTAACTATCAGGACACCAGTTTCCACTGAGGCAGCACAGGCCCAAATGAAGGGTATTTTTCTGTTTATATGGGCCAGTCTTTCTTATTTAAGCATTCATTTTATTAAGATGATCTTAAATTTTTGGTGAAGGTGTTAAATAGGCACATATTTCAAATTTGTGTTTATTTTCATGTGGATTTTTATAGCCTTCAGTTTGACCTTTTATTATTTGTGCACTGTGTCTGAATGTAGATTAATATGGGGAAGACCTTCAGTCAGAAGACTTGAAGGAACAATCCAAATTGGAGTTATTTGATTTGGTATTGGATAAATACAACTGTGATGCAGCAGTTCTGCAATGCATTCTTACATTATAAAAATTTCCCTATCTTTGATGATTTATTTAGTAGGAGAAAAAGTAAGCTCAAAGTATACCCAAAGTTCATGGCATAAATAGCATAAAAAGAGTCAGGTAGGTGTCTAGGCGTACAGAAGACATGTAAGGTAGGAAAATGAGCTGGCTAATTCCAATAATTATCTTCTGTATTAGCTCTCATGTGCACTGCAGAGCACATATGAGTCTTGCACCCTTGATCTTCAAATTCTAAATGAATTCTATGCAGTCGTATAGTTAAGTGAAGCATAATATTCCATTTTTTCAATGAAATAACTGTCAGAAAGGCCACAATATAGCAGACTGTGAGTACAGTTTTATGAGTAGGTACAAAAGAAGCAATTCATATCTGTCACTTCCCTCTTCACATTACCAAGAACCCTGATCTGATTTTTTTCTTTTGGCATTTACTAGATGTGCATCTGGTACCTGTGCTCTGAAACTCCCACATTGCTGTAGGGTATATTTTCTGTCATATTTTGTCCATGTGACATCTAAAATTAATGTCTTAAAACTGAGTTTTGGGCCTTATTAGAGTTTGTCTCTGTAAATATTACCTTTAGTGCAGTGTATTCATATACAGAATCATTTTATACACTTAAGGAGAAACACGAGCATGTGTGCTACATAAATGAGTTCTCATTCAATATTCTGGAAATACAGGTTGAGTTGTAGTTTTTATACATGTTATGCTTTGAAGCACCTTGACAATTGGGAATAGCTGAGCAATAGAAGCAAAGATATGTGATGACAAGTTTGTTTGATGACAAAACGCTGTCATTTATTTTTATTCTTACTATTGATTTTCTTGGTGGTGAAAGGTATTAGCCTGACAGCTTCTGGACACTAATAATCTGTCTGTCAGTGAAGGTGAGAGAGCCAGAGCAGCCACAGTCTGGGATTTCTTACAGTGTTGCAGTGTCCTGCTACCTCCCCATAGGACCCTGTCTAGGCTTCAGAAACTAGTTTGCTCTTCAACACTGTCCCTCCTTCCCCTCCTTGCACAAATGCCAGAAAGGCTGCATAGCTTATGTCCAAGTTAAAGAACATTCCACCACAAGTGAGCTGAAGTCACCACTAATTTTTACACAGACTATTGAGTAACACATAGTGTTAATAAGGGCTTCTGTATTATTGGCTTCCTTTGCTCTGTTCTTTGGAGCATTTCTTCTTTTTCTAAGGACTTGACATTTACTTCCATGGTAAGAAGCTTATTATTCCTACACATTACATGAAAACCACCAGATCTTGAACTGGTGACAAAACATTTGAAATTTTATACATTTAAGATCTTTCAGCTGTTATAATTATCAGTGATGTTATTTTACACAACCAAGTTGAAATCCATAGGTGTGCTGAATATTTAGATGAAAGCAATAGAGTACATCTGTTAATATAGCCTGTGCTGCTGATACATCTTGGAAGTTTCGTTTTCTTGAACCAGATTCATACTCAATTGTAAGTACTTTGCAAAGTATGAGACCAGAATTTACTATATCAGGAAATTGACAATAAAAAGGTTTTTGCTAAAATGTATTTGGCCCCCGAAGTTATATAACACTGCAATGCACATTTAGTTTTTGGTAAGTTACTTTCCATCAGGTAAAGATGATTGCTCACAGTGTTGGTCCTATGACTGATGTTGAAAACAATTACTCTCTGGACTCCAGGCATGGAAGTTCACAGCATGGTGGTGTCAGAAAGTATCAGGCATGTCATCTGTAGCAAGAGAAAAGCTCCCCTGTGAGGTGCTGTAATACATACCATGGACCTGGGCATCTAGATGGTCTTAAATTTGGAAGTTATGTTCACTGACTATAGTCAGTTGAACAGGACATGGTTAGCTTCAAACAGTAATTTAAAACTGCAATACATTCACTTCAGAAAAGGTGATCTGGAAGCCTTTCTTTCTGCAACACTGAGTTAAGTCTATCTGAGTGAGGATAAAAAAAGCCTATTTTTTAAAATCTCAGAAAGACATTAACCATAAAATAGCACTCTAAATGACACCTGAGCACAGAAGCACTGCAGTGTCTTAGGCCACTGCTTTGACTACAAATACTCTAGTAGCTTTTCTAAGGCTGGAAGTCTTTGACTTTCCTACTCCATTTTTAAGCATAAAACCAAAACAAAGCTGGGTTAGAATTTGGGAATGCCTTGGAACTCATATATACTGAGCTTTAATTCCGTTCATAGTGACAGACAATTGAGAACTGGTTCAACATGTTGCTGTGTTCAGATTTCAACATGGTTATGGCTTCATCTTTGAAGTGTATTACAAATTCATATTGTTTTTAGCACAAAACAATCAGGTCTTTTAAGATTGTTCTGCAGTAATGCTTTCACTGATGTATTTTGCACATCCTGTGTTACAGTTATTTGAATAACCTTTAGAAATGTTTGAGCAAAGTTTGCCCACTTTGAAAGTTACTGAGATGGGAATACATACATTGTTCTAAAGCCAAAACTCATACCAGGCTTTTGTTCGGAAGTCTGTCTGCCATTCGAAAGATTTGCTCCTCTGTTTTTAGGGGTTTTTCTCTTTGCCTTTTTTTTTTCTTTAAATAATCTGGATGCATTATCTGTTTTCTGAACCAGAATCTTTACACTGGAAACACCTTCAAATATCTTTACTTCAACTAAACTCCTTATATCATCCACAGGTCTTTCCAAATAACAATTCCATAGTGTACCACAATGATTTTGAGGTTGTTTATTACAGCTCTTCCCTGCTGCCATCACTCTAAAGCTACTGTTAAATGAAGGGGGATTTAACTGCAGATATTTTCATGTTTTTGTTTCTCTTGATCATAATACACTCTTATATTGTTGTATACTCCCTGCAATACAATAAACAAATAAAAAAAAAAAGAAATCTAGCATGTTGGGGTGCAATATTAATCAATTAATCATATTTCTCATTATTTGTGTGAGTACATGTTACAGTCTTTTAATGACCTTTGACCTTTGAGCATTTTAAGAAACTATTACATCTATTAGAATGTAATAATTACATAAGACACTTTGTGCAAGTACAAATACTGATGGGGAAAGGCTTTTATCAATATTTAATATGAAGTTCAAATTATAATAGATGCATCACATGGCACATTATAATAGTACTTGATTAACCCTGCTTAGCAGAATAATTAAGTCCACAGGTTGACCAAGCAGTTCTGGTATATGAAATTGAAAGCTGAGACATTGATTACCCTTTCAAACACCAAACAGTTACCTAATTTAATTAATATATTGAAAATTCATTTACAATTAATACAGACAAAACAATGTGTTCTACTGGTAACACTGCATAATCAATGAAGCAGGATGGGACCATTTCACCCCTACAGAATTCCTTAACTACTCTGCAGAGAGCACATTAGCAGCTGTGAACTACCCTTGTCTGTGCATTTATCGCTTGCCACCATCACTATGCAGTCCAAGAGGACATGCAACAGTCCTTGGATCTAGAGGAATGTTCAAGCCAACCAAGGCTGGAAAGGCTGAGCTGTAGAGATTATTTTACAGGGGCTGGATTCTGACCATGGTTAAAGGGTGAAAAAAAAAGAGGAAAAAAATCACTAGAGAAAGTGGTGTATTACTGCATGCCACACAGGCAGCACAGCTTACGCCATGTACTGCTCTGTTTGTCTTGGCAGATCTGTGTGCGCGGATCTGGCTGTGGGCGTGATTCTGCCAAAGATGGTCAGTGTTCAACTTACACCCATGTTTAGGTCTCTAGTTATGCGTTTGTCTACCATGTGCCTCTCTCTGCCAGTCCACAAAACAATGGCTTCCTAGGCATTTCTATTCTCAGTATGAGATAAAATTAATAATGTAAGCAGTATGACCATGTACTAAACGTTTAGCTGAAGCTGCGAGATCCAATATATTAGATTTTTTGCCTGTAAGCCAGAAAGAAAATACAGACATAATAAAGAAGCTTTTAGTGATGGTTGCTGTCACAAAATTAGATCAGAAAAAACCCCCAACCCAGTTTCTACCACGATGGAATACAACATTTTATTGGTACAGGTTGTAACGTTTCATGGCATGCAGTGCAGAATGCCTCATGGTGATGCTGAATGCATTTCATGACCTGGTTTTGGCAGCTTCTGGGACATCCTTTCCATAGCTGAATTTGTGTGCTCTCCTTTCCTCTTCACCTAGAAGCAAGGCACACATTGCAAAACGTTGAAGTCCCATCTCATACATCTATTAACCATCTCTGTCCAGTTGTGTTGCTTTGTCCCTCAGACGATGCAAAAAGGCAAATGATTATGTTCAAATGACACTAGTAAATTTTATATGTTTATACTTGTTGCAAATTATCAGCTAAAGATTCTTTACATCTGCTATAGATGTTAAATGCTTTTTATGTGGATGGATACAGTTAATTGGTTGTTCTATGGACAGACGGATTTAGAGAAATAATCACAATAATTCCATATACTGGCTGTGAGTTCTGGATTTTACCTTTAGATCTCTGAAGTGTATCAATGATGAGTAAAACTGCAAGCACAAATAAATTTCCCTGTGTACTATGCATCTGAGGAGGCTTCTAGAATATATTGATTACAGCAGGTACCTGACATGAAATATTTTGCCCCCATGAAAAGAAGAAAAGGTAAACCCATCCTGCTTCAATTATCTGTACCATGAATGCACTGAACTTTCACCTCTCTCTCCTTCAGGAGCAATGCTGTGTTGTTACAAATTAATTGTGCACTGAGATGCTGGAACTGTAGAAGTGTTTTCCTGGATTTGAGTGCTCTGTTGTGAGAGGCCCCTCAGATGCATAGGCTCTTTCACTTTCTGGGGCTAAACGGGCAGATCTTAGTCCAGAACCAATTATTTAAGCATTGTGTTGAATGTGTATTCTCCTCCTCCTCACATTGTTTATACCATTGTGTCTTACACTGTATGTGTATCTTCCCTGGTTTCTCCCAGTTACGCTTTTGCTTTGTTCTGTAATCTAATGAAATCCTTACAAAGTTTTCACAGCATTTCTTACCTTTATACTCCTTTGTGTAACCTATATTTTAATGATCCCATTCCCTCTTTTTCCCCGCTGTGTTCCAATTTTTATTTTCCTGTCTACTTTGTGAGCAGACTGTTCCATATAATCATTTTTATTCCACTGTGTTTTCTTCTTTTAGTCAAGCAGTTTTCTGTTCTTCTCTGTAGAATTACACTTTATGACTACCAGGCCATGTGTAGAACAAACAAAGAGAGTAGCGACAGTGCCCATAGCTTACTGGACGTAAGTACAGTACATTTTCTGAGCAACTTTCCATGCAATCATCAAAGAAAATTGTTGCAAATATCTCATGGCCATTGTAAGCCCATTATTTTGATTTGGAATGCTTACAGCTCACGTTTATCCAAGTGCATATAAGGAATGGTTCATTATAAACAAATGCAAAGTGTTAAGTGTTTTCTAGTTCAAATACTTACACAATCATTTTAATGCTGGGCCACCATTTCTGAGGCTCTGTCAGAATGTTCTTTGCACCACATGAATATGCCTTCCTAGGAATTTGTTAATTTGGCAGTAGATTGTGCTTTGTCTGGGGGTCTGGAATCACATATGCCTTTTCTGTATATAAACACAATTCAAATTAAAAATTGAGATTTCTCTTTTTTTATATGAAAGGATTGATTCATTGGCAAGGCATGCAAGTGAGTTTAACACTTTTTTTCCCCTCTTAGTATTTAAACATTTCTTTTAAAGTAGAATTTCAATGTATTTAAACCCTTGTCTTGTAATCAGGCTCAAATACAAACCCTGTCCCTCTTTAATGCCTCATTACAGTCAACCTGGGTTTTGCCAGGGTGACACTTCTTTGTTGCTAAATCCTTTATCTAGGTAATAATCCCAAAGGTATTTTATAATCATGCATCTGTTTTATTGATTGCTATAATAATCTATCAGAACTGATCAGGTGTTAGATTAAAGTATAGGTTTTGCATATTAAAAAGGAACTGTTTTCACAAATAGTAATAGCATGAAAAATTCTAATGTAAATAGAGCAGCAGCAAAACATTGGCAATTTTACCAGTCTGGAAAAGTTATCTGATAGTATTTTTAAAAGCTCAGGGGTCTAGCTAGACAAAAAATTAGCTTACACATAGCTAAACTGTTGAATAAATATCAAAATTCCGATAACTTCCAAATATTATATATAGTTTCTCTGGTTTAATAAATGTGTACATTTGGGGATGTTTTCATTTATATATCTACGTGACTCTTTCTCAAATACCTGTAAATTTGGACTTACAGCATTTATCAGTTTGTTTTCTGCTGAAGTCTGAACCTGAAAAAAGACCATCTTGACATAATAATAAGTTCTGGGCTGTGCCATGAGAACTAAATTATCAGTGAAATAGAATGGGATACTGTGAATCACATTTGCAGGAGAAATTTTAAAGTATATCACAACTTCAAGCAAAAACTTTCCATGGTAAGGGCTGGGGCTTCAGCTCAGTTTGGATAAGCACCCAGCATGTACAACTGAAGCATTTATCTCTTAAGAATGGGCTCTAATCCAAGAGATATTAGCTATTCCAATTTTTGTCCAGGATGTGTTTACAGACAAAAAACTCTGAATCTATTGTGGGTTACACTGAGACATGTCAAGGATGTTCTTTATTTGTTTTAAAGATAGCCAAACTCTTCTTTAAACCTAAAGTTTTGGTGATGTTCAGCATGAAAGATGAGCACAATTTTGGCCATTTTATTATTTTTTCCTGTTGATTCAGTCACTTCCAATGACCACAACTATAAAATATAAAGGAAACTTACGTGAAAATCAGGTAGGAATAATTCCTCAAAAGTATTTTTTTCTTGTTTTGATGCCCAGTTTTGTACATATCAGGTTCTTGGGCAGTTCAGTGTAGTTTTTACATAAGCAAAATGTTTGTTCACAAATGTTTATTCTTCTGTTTGAGAATTATGGTCTTATAAATAGATACAGGGACAAGATGGAGACCCTTAAAAGTTTCATATTTTAAACAGCATAAAAGTGGAGAATTAGTATTGAAGATAATGATTTCTAAAGGATCCATCACAACATTCTGCCAAAATCATGGCAAACAAGTGTCAGGGTTGGATTCCTTTCTATCCTAGCTTTTTAGGCTGTGGGAGTAAACATAAATCAGGGATGGACTAGATTTTGTAGATATCTGGTTCATTTCTTTATCAGAATAGGATTGCTTCTTAAAAATTATCCAGACACTTTGTTATTTAGCACTTTTTTTGTTTGTTTTAATTGGTTCAAGTCCACTTTGTTGCAAATGTAGCAGTGCCATGGAGTCACATAGCTAAATTCTTTTGACTCTCAATGATGGTTTAGATAAATAGAGAGAATAAAACTCCTGCAGTCTTTCTGTAGTTTTTGAAGGAACAGTCTTTGAGTGGAAAAGGCTGTCTCAGTAAAATCACATTTTATGAGAAAACAGTTGTATCAATGTAATGACATCTTTTCCCATTAGAATCTCGAAGCAAATAATTATTATTCTTTTTCTGTTCATATTACTCATTTTTTTAGATATATTGAGACTTTAAATTTTCATTTACTTCTAATATTAGAATAATTGTTATAATACATAGAAAATTTTACATTAAATAGGTATTGTTCATAAATATGAATGAATATATTGCTTTATACTAAATCATTTGGCATTCTGAAAACAAAAGTATACGACAGAGCTAATTGCTTGGGCATGAAATTCCAGGTTTTCTGATTTGGAATGAAAATAAATCAGATGTCCCACAGGGCTGAAATTTTGTATTCTTTCATCTCTAGGAAAGTCTTTTCTTTTCCTATAAGACAGTGCTTAAGAGGTGAAAATCTTTCTTTTCTCGGGCACTCTGCACTCTGCTGGGTTGTGGTTTCAGCCACTGACTGACATGAGTTCATTGGCTCTGTGAGTTCTCAGCCCTGTACAGAAACACTCTGTGTGTGGCACATTACTGCTCTGCAAAACAGCACAGCTTCAGCAAGTGCTGTTTCAGGGCTGTTCAGCATGATTTTACATATCTCAGTAGTTCTGTTAGTATGACTTCTTGTATGTGTTAAAATACTCTGTTGATACCTAAAGGAGCCTGCAGAATTTTATGCAACTAGGACACCCTAACTCGAAAGAAAGACAAGAAAAGATTACTTTCCAAATTTCTGGAAACTTACTTTTCTGCCTGAGATTCTTTCACAGAAGATTAATCCCATTAATATTCTTTTCAAAAATGAAATATTCAAAAGGCATTAGACGTACCATAAACATAGGATTTTCAAAGGATTTGCTGTATTTGTTATGATCCAGAAAAAACAGAAGGAGAAGGCAAAAAAGTACTTAAAGTGCTTACAACTGGGTCTTCAATATGACACACATAACCGTTTAGGTAAATGCAAACTTCAGAAGCTTTTCTTAACCTAATTAGAATAGGTAATGAATAGAGATTTACATTATAGAGAGGCAAGCCCGTGAATTGCAACCCAAGAAAAGCTCATATTATCTCCCCGAGCTGTTCCTCTGGCAATAGCCTGGGAAATAGGAACCCCTAGAGGTTAAAGATTTAAGAATAATTTGCAAAATTTTCCTTTTCCCACTGAGAATATATGACCAACTAAGATAAAAAGGAAATTTCGTTACTATACATTTCAATAATCAATATAATAATATTTCTTCATAAAAAAGGCTTTTTTCTCATGCTCCCCATGCATTTGAATATCCATAACATTGTTTTTACATGAAGAATTCAGTTAAGATGTAAATGCTGCATGTTTTGCCTTTTTATTAAATGAGTTGCTTCTCTTCAGCCTTATAATGCCTTCTTTGCTGCAGTAAAGTGGATTATGACTGAACTTGTCTTGTAAGTAGATTTTTATCAAGAACTTAATATTTGTGTGAATTACTGAATATTTATACTTTTGGTTATTGAATTATTTGTACCTTTTGCATTTTACATACATTGTGCTGCTTTTATTACGTGATTTTAAATACAGTTATATTTGTCAATTTTTTTCTTCTGAATTTGGAATTGTTAAAATCTGAGAAAGTTTTGGCTATATATATATGCACAGCTTCACTTTTATTACATTATTCATGTTCTTCACTTCTATCTGTATGTCTTTGTTTAGCAGATCACATTATACAAACCAAATTTATTCTTGTGGTTACTGTTAGATTTTAGAGAAATGACCTGTTTGTGATGCTGCTTGGGTGGGCTGTTGTCAATAGAGAAACTGTCCCACTGACTCACTCTATTGTTTGTGTCTTCATAAAATTCTGCAAGATGGACCTTTTACAGTCCCTGCCAGATAAGGTGGACTCTGAATTGTTTAATCTTTGCTAATTCTTCTAACATTTCCAGTTAATTCATTAAGACCATTACCCTTGTGGGACCCTAAGAAATAACAGCAATATCATATGGAGAAGAGGAAGCTTTAAAATGTGTCATGTTATTAACCTATATGTTTTCTTATTGTTCTTATCAGAAAATGGTGAATTTTATTTTTGTTGAAATAGAATTATTTTTTTACTGTAATAATTTTATTTTATTTAAAAATGTATGAGCTTTCAACAAAGTTCAGAAGAAGAGTTAAGGAGAAGTAGCTGAATGGCTACTGCCAGAGGGCAGAGATTGATCTTGAATGCAGCTTTCAAAGTAAATATAAGGGGAAAGAAATCATGTTAAAATGAAACTGAAGCTACACTTCGAAAATTTCCAGAAACTTTCTGTTTATAGGTATTATAGATTCGTGTATATAATGAACTGGATGCTGATTTCATGTTCTTTACACTTACAATAATTGATAGACTGGCACTTGTCATTCATTCTTCTAAGTAAATCACAGTATATTCTAGTGTTAAAATGCATTCTCTGCAATTTAGTTAAAGCTGATTAGACAGTGGTTAATCAATCTTTTCAGCTCCTAGAAATAAAATAATTTCATTATTTCAGGTAGAGAATTAATAAAAAAAAGTATTTCATGTGTATTTCTGTATTGTAGCCAGGACAGGAATAATCCTATGCCATTTTACCAGAGTCTAAATTCCTGCATAATGAAGAAATTATGTTCAACAGTAAAAATACAGCATGCTGCCATGTGTTGTGAATTTTAGTGGACACTTTAAATAAAATCAATATTGTAAATTAATAAAAGGCAAATCTATGATTCATTGATGGGGTTATTTTCAGAACAAGTTCTAAGAGGTAAAATACAACCCAGTGAAAAGATGAGAAAAGCAGTAGTTGCTAATCCCTGAGTTATGCCAGTAACATGAATCTCAGCTCTATATTAGCATTTATTTAGAACAGGACTAATGGTATCAATCTACTGCCAGTTTAGTGTTTTGAAAACATTCTGTGGGATAATATGAAAACTCTCATAATTTCTCTAGGTTCCTTGTGGAATTTAATCTATGCAGTTGGTGGCACTCTGATCTAACAGCAAAAGGTAAGTGTAATTTTTTTCCCTGGCCATAATGGCAGATATGTCTAGATTAACTTGGATTTTTGAAATTCAGATGTGCATATACTGTTTTAGATTAAATAATACACATCTAGTAAAAATAATTTATCTCCCATGTCAGCATCTAATGTTTCCTAAAACACAAGAGAATTAATATCTTTTACGAATAACCACAAAGTGCTTGTGCTTGTGTGTACTCTAGGAATGGAGTAAACTGCTATAATGGGAAAGTTAAAATAATAGATAATGCTTAAATATGGTATTTTTAAACATTTGCCTGCCTTCCAAAACAGACTTTGTTAATAAAGCAATTGCACTGGCCTTTTTCTCCTTATATGACTTTCGTAATTTTTATTTTAATAGAGCTGCAGTAAAATGTAGCATGATTATTGTGCTGGAAAATGCCATTCCAAAAAAAGTCCACAGGAATATGACCATCCCAGTATAATTTCATGAGTAAATAATTTTTAAGGCTTAAGATAGTAGATTTTAGGCTAAACGAGTCTGGTTAAAACCATATTTTTTGTCATTCCATTCAAAATAGATATTTAAAAGTACTAAAATCTAGATGAATTAAAATTCAATTTACTCAAAATACTTTTTTTTTTAATATGTGGAAGCTTCATCTGAAATAATGGAATTTTAATAGTTCCCACAAGAATTGGAAGTTTTCAGTGTAAGCTGTCTGTTATACTTTAGCAGACTTTTTATGGCATTTTCAGACATCTTGCTCAGAAGTAAAGGGCTGGTTTACAAGGGCAGTGCTCTTCAACTGAAGATTTCATAGGCAAATTGTGCCATGTGCCATTGACTGGTATAACGATTTAAACTGAATTCTTCAGCCTCATATTTGCTTCCGTTGACATTTGTGTAGCCTGGATACTAGGCTGTCTTTATGCCAAAATAATACACTGTCTGAAGTTAAGGTATCAGGAAAATTAAATATACTGATGCCCTGGAATAATCCTGTATTCCCTGTAATAATAAGATGCTGGAGCTCTTCTAGTATAAAAGTTCTGTCCTGGAGCAACCAGAAAGTATGACAGTAATTGGCAAAGCACATGTCAGGAGAAATGAGCTTGGTGTGCTAGACCCAAAAAATGCCAAACAGTTCCTTGTGTCTGAAGAGGAATTCCAGGTATGCCAGTCCTGGTCCTCGGTGTTTGCAGGACAGTGCAAAATAGCCAGTGTAGGAAAAAGGGAATTTTTTGGATGGTTTTTTCAAGTGTGCTAAACAAATATGTCTTCATATACTCTGACATGAAACATTCCATGGCACTTGCATTGTATGTTAGGGAAAATATCTTTCAAACACAGCATCCCTTTACATCTCACTAAAATGAATTTCTGATTCGTAGTTTAAATGTGTATAGCTACAGAAGAGGCAATTATAACTTGCAAACTCCCTTTTTGTAAAAACAAAACTATCATTACAGCACTTTGATGGACAAGTGTGATTGAGGGATTTTCATTCATGTTTTAGTTGACGGTGAAGTTTTAATTACACAAGTCACTTCCTACATTTCTTTGATGAGTAAGAGTATTGAAAATACCCCTGATCATACTCATTGGAAAGTCATAATTTTTATGCTACCACTTGCCCAGTTCATATTTGGTTAGGTAGCAAGGGAAAATTGTTTGGATACTGACATGTTTTAGTAAAGTAAAAGCAAGAATTATTTCACAATAGATCAGGAGAGAAAAGCACATGCTTAGCTATGTTCTTCAGTAGATGTTGTGTTACCCCTAAGACTTGTAGTATTTATGAGAACAATTAAAATTAATGAACTTGCACATTTTTTTATAATGCCTATCAAAGCTCAGAAGAAAGTTTGGTTCCTCTAATGGGGAAATTGCTTCCCACTCAAATCATAATATTAATAGAGTATCACATATAAAGATCCTAGAGGCTCCACACATACCTGCCCACCTATCAAACCCTAGTATGAAAAATACTTCTGTACAAGGTCTTGTTATCTCAATCACATTAGTAAATGAGTGAGAAGAAACCCTAAGATTTGGACAACCCTGTCATTTCTGGACTCTAGCAGGGTGCTGGAAATGTGAGACCCATGAATCTCCAGCAGTCTCTGTTACACAAGCCATATGTTGATACAAGTGAGGGTAGACCCAAAACACAGGTGTTAAATTCCAGTCATTCTTGACAGCAGATAAGAAGAGAAAGGGAGAAGGTGCAGTAGGGCTAATCAGACAATTTCTAAAAACATACTAAATTGTAATTAATACTAAATTTCGCCATAGTGAAAACATAAGAAATATCAAAACCTTTCTGACCAACTTTATTACCTCTGAGATCTGTGCATTTGGTGGAATTTTTTTTTAATAATTATATACAAAAACTGTGAACAGTTAAAAAATGCATGTCATAGTGTGTGATTCCACTTGTGGTCATTCCCCTGGCACTGCACCATGGATGCACCACTCGCTCTGAAACAGATTATCTCAAATGGAAGATCTGTCAAGACCAAGAGCCTGTTTAGTGTAATCTATTTTTGTCATACCTCATCTTGTTTTCTCACTTAGTAATTAGTTTAAGATAGGGTTAACATTTGTGCTGATGTGCAAGTATATCTCTGTGTAAAGGAACAATGAAGGGATGGGGAGCAAAAGGAAAGGGAATGAGGGAAAGACATTGTCTGACAGATACTTCAGTGTGAGAGTCAGAAGAGGTTGCCTTCAGTTCCCAGCTTTGCTGCTGTCCTGTAGCTTGACCTTGAACCAGTCTCACTGCCTCCTGGCACCTCAGTTTCCCAATATAAATAGTGAGCCTTCCTTTTTCTTTGCACTGCAAGGGCTTCAGGTTAAAGATCTTATGGAGTCTTAATTATTATTTTGGAAAGCAGATGACAAGCAGTGGAGCTGGGTAAACTCTTTTGCCTCTCCCACCCGCAGTTTTAACTGATGAAACCCCGCAAAGGTTCCCAAGATGTAGTCCCAAAAAATGTGCATTGACTTCAGTAAAATATGCCACAATTTGCATATCAAATAAGTGTAAAGTCCTATGAATACAGGTCAGTGATGCACAGCACCACTGAGATGAGAATGACAGTAAATCCAGCTTGAACCTACAGGGAAAGAATAAAATCTTGTGCATAAATGTAAAGTAGGTTGGCAATGGCTAAACCATTAATAACTACTTTAACAGTGATGTCTTACAAAATTACATTCCACGGATAAACCTTTTTTTCTTATTTATTTAATTGAAAATACAGTAGTGTTATGCACTGCCTAGGAAATCTCACAGGGTGGCAGAAGCTGAGTAACATTTCCATTCTCTGTGAGCACTGTAAAACAGCATCTCATGTTGTTCACAATTCTGTGTGCTGCTCTTCCCATGTTAACATCAAGATATTTTTTCCTGTGCCTATAGCGCAGAGGTTGAAACAAACCCTAGAGCCCTGTGATACTGAATATCCAGCTTTTGTTTCTGAGCGCACTATAAAGGAGACCACGGGGAATATTGCTTGCGATGACTGTTTCAAGTAAGCCTTTTCAATTTTTTTTTATACAACTGTTTGTGACAAAGCAATAAAACTGAATTATTCAAGGTTGTGTTGAAGAACGTACAAGTCTGTTATGTTTTATCTTATGTAATGACCTCTGTCAGGGTGTCAGTTCTCTTATTACAGGGGTCATTTAAAAGTTTGATACTCTTAAATTAAAGCAATGCCTATTATTTTCTATCCAAAAAAATGTAAAACTAGTAGAGGCTTATGTTAATTTCAAATAGTGAACGTTTTAAGACTTTTCCTGTATGCAGGCAGCATTCTAAGGTCATAGTCTGTAAGATTTAGATGCAAAAAGGTAAGTGCTGTTCACTGTTCTGTACAGGAGCGAAACCCTGCTGGATAGGTTAGGAGTTCCCTTGTGGTGCTGTGAGATCTGGTTGTTTTACTGGAATGCCAAAGAGAGTTTCCTTCTTAGAATTGTTAGGCTGAAAGAATGGGAGAGGATTAAACCTATTCCCCAAACTTTCACTGTGGGGAAACTGAGTTAGTAGCAACATATCTCACATGTCAGTGCTGCAATCTTGTCAGTTCTACCAGTGCTACTGTAAAATTGTCCCTCATAGGATTAAAAGAAGAGAAAGACATCAGTCTAGCTTTCCTCCTTCACACTGAAAATGCCATTTCTCTGCATTTGTTGCCTCTGTGCAGTGACATTTTGACTGTAGTTCTGGCACAGGTATTGTTCATGCAAATTTCTGTACTTCAGTAAGTCTCTTAATTGGATTTCCTTTATGCTGAGAGGTCGTCATCGCAAAGCAGATTAGTATTTACAGCAATAATTTGTCTTTCAATATAAATGTCAGGAAGAATTTATAAGCCAAACAAAAATTGTTACAGCTCTCCCTTTCCAGGCTAAATTAATATGCAGTTAGCAAATAAAGGGACCTGGGAGTTTGGATAGATAGAAAGCTGAACATGAGCCAGCAGTGTGCTCAGGTGGCCAAGAAGGCCAATGACATCCTGGCCTGGATCAGGAACAGTGTGGTCAGCAGGACCAGGGAGGTGATTCTGCCCCTGTACTCGGTGCTGGTGAGGCCACACCTTGAGTACTGTGTGCAGTTCTGGGCCCCTCAGTTCAGGAGGGACATTGAAGTGTCTGGGACAGACCAGAGGCTGGTGAAGGGACTCGAGCACAAGTCCCATGAGGAGAGGGCAAGGGAGTTGGGGTTGTTCAGCCTGGAGAAAAGGAGGCTCAGGGCAGACCTTATCACCCTCTACAACTCCCTGACAGGAGGTTGGAGTCAGGTGGGGGTTGGTCTCTTCTCCCAGGCAACCAGCAGTAGGACAAGAGGGCACAGACTCAAGCTCTGCCAGGGGAGGTTTAGGTTGGATATTAGGAAGAGACTTTTCATGGAGAGAGTAATCAGGCATTGGAATGGGTTGCCTGGCGAGGTTGTGGATTCACCGTCCCTGGAGGTTTTCAAGATGAGACTGGATGTGGCACTTAGTGCCATGGTCTGGTAACCATGGTAGGGTTGGACTTGTTGATCTTAGAGATCTTTTCCAATCCAGTTGATTCTATGATTCTATATTTGATGCAAAAATAACCAAGGTGAAAATTTCTTCACTTTGAAGTCAATAGGTGTGTTTCTGGACTTAATCCTAAATTTTCTCCTTGCTATTTTCATTACTTTAAAACAGGAAATAGGAGTAAGTGCACTGGAGATAAATTTTAAGTGCTAATATTCACTTTTGATTTGCTACTGACCAACTTTAAAGTATAAGGAAATTGTTAATGTCTAGTATGAATAATTGGTTTTATATGGCTTTGTGGGATATAAGTATGAGAGTGCTTTGTAAATTGATTCTAGGGAACCCTTTAAGTGTAACAATAGGTCCCAACTGCCTGAAAAGTACAAACTTAACAAAATCAAGCCATGATTTTTCCACTTGACATATCAAATACAATGCAGGTTACACTGCTATGAGTGCTTCATGCCAACATTGTAGAATTTAACCTGCCTTATTTTGTGATAATTTAACAAAGGATTACTGAGAAGTTGTGCAACAAATTATCATGCATCCCTGGAGGTGTTCAAGGCCAGATTGGATGGAGTTTTGAGCAACCTGGTCTAGTGGAAGGTGTCCCTGCCCATGGCAGGGGGGCTGGAACTAAATGGCCTTTACAGTCTCTTCAAACCCAAACCATTATATGATTCTGTTTAAATATTACAAACAGGCATGATTCCATGAAAAGAAGATTAATTTAACAGGACCAGTTTTTCTCAAAGGAATGCAGATTTTAGTCTGTTTTCTTAGGTAACTTCAGGTCAAAGGAAATAAGTTTCAAAAATAATACAATTCTGCAATACTTGGAAAGCACTGAGTTGGAAACTGAGTGTAGTGAAAATTATAGTATTTCAAAAATAATGCACTAAGATCTTTTTCATAGAAAAACATTTTGTGTTCCACAGTGGAAAAAAAAATAGAAGAAAACCCTGTAAGTTACAAACTGATCTCAAGGCACCCATTATTTTTCTCCACAAGCAATGGCAAAACCTAAAGAAATAATCCAGAAGAGCTATTAGATCCTCATGGGAAAGTTGTTCGTTATACCGTTTACCCACTGTCACTAACAATCTACAAATTGCATCTAAGATTGCAGACTGCATTGGACTCCAAATATTTTTGTTATAACCCAGGACT